TGAAAATGCAATTCAGGGAATTCGGGGGGCTTTTGTATTATATTTACAACCTAATCGTGATAGAGGTAATACTGTATATAGTCAAAAAGAGTAAAATTAGTATATTGTTGTAATTGAAATTACTATCATAGGAACTGGAAATAATACACTACCTGGAAATTCAAATTGGTTTGAATAGCAATGGCCAATTGATGGAGATTTGGAAGGTTGTATACTAGCACGGTATATTCCGAATATTGGTGAATGGACAATATTTACTCACACACAATTAGAAAAGTTGCAAAAACGTGAAATCAAAAAACCCACTCCGCATACTTCAACCCCAACAACACCAATTTCAGATTGGTATATACCACCACCAAACCCTGCACGTATGTATTACTTTGTATTAAAATGTAGCTAATACTAATATATATATATATTACAGATATACGTTCAGATCGATTATCAAAGGAAAGCCTAATAAAGCAGTTACATTTAAGATGTGTTAAAATTGATGAGAAAGAAAATAAACATGAGTTGGTAAAAAAATTGGAATCGAAACTAATGATAAATATGCATGCGAGTAAGTAAAAAAGTAAGGATGAATTTATAAAGTATTTCGGGTAAATGATGCTAAAATTAAAATTAGATAACGAAGTATTAGTTGAAGTACTTATGGATAAAGTGGATAATAAAACCCAACAACAGTAAGTAATAATGATTTTTTTTCGAAATAATACTAAAAATTACTTACTAGCGAATCTTTAGAGATATTGATAATATATTTTTCTTGCGTTCTGGTTGGGCTCTGAAAGAAAGCCAAAAATTTGGCAAGAAAGGTGCTGGAAAACGAATGTCGAAAAAAGTGAGGGCCTTGTTAGAAGGGTTTTTTATGGCAGGAAATGCAAACAAAAGTGATCATTACAACGCTCAAGATATGTACAAAGAATTATTAAAATGTGTTGAAGAAGGTGAAATTTCTATTGAAGAAGTTCCTAAACCTACTACTATTCAGAATTGGATAACAAAAACCACGGCTGAACATCGAGAACGTGCAGCTTTAAAAGTTTTGAATGAAAATACTTCTTAAAATTAGCACAAAGTAGAAGTTCTTAACTCACTGAAAAAACTATTTAGATTATAATATCGGTTGGGATAGTCAATATAATCGTCAATATA